TAAAATATATGAAAAAAAAGCGAGCAATAAACAAATTCGTACTTAAAATTTTAACATCTATATACAAATAAACCAATCCTCCAAGTCTAATCTCAGACACAACGAAAATATCTACAGCATAACTCTGCTTTGTCATAACATATATATACATAAAAAGTAGCTTCAAGGATAATTAAATTTAATTCGACTTACATGTATTAAATTAACTGCACCGGATTAGTCAGGTGGAACTACTCCAAAACCATTTCTAATTTTCATACTGCAAGAAATATCCTCAAAAGTGCCATTATTCGTTTTTATTTAACGAAAGCACGTCCGCAACACTAAACAACACATTCCGAATAAACGATAACATCGAATGAGCTGTTCCAAGACTTAGCCTTGAAGAAAACAAAATGACTGAAATGATAAAAAAACTGTACGAGCCGAAGAAAACAGATAAGATATTCAGAGAGACACTACTAGCGGTCATGAAAAATAATCCTTATTAGACAGCGTAAAATATTTAAAAATGCTAAAATTAAATGTTAGAAGTAATGCGCTTATAAATACAAAGAAAATTTATCCTAAGCATAATTATTTTCATTTGGTAGTTTTAACGCGCAAATAATTTTAGTTTTATTGGGACAAAGTTCTTTATTAGTTAAGGAGAATTAGCTGAAAAATCGGCATTTTTTGAAAAGTTTGGGTTACACCTGATTATTGCATATAAATTAGTAAAAAATTGCGTATATCTTTAATAAACTTATGCGCACACTCACTAGTAAAAATTACCGTTGTTAGGTGAATTTTCTTTTATTCCTAAATTTCCTTATATTTCCCCAGTGATCCTTATTCAAAATAGGGATGTTCAAACAAAAAAAATTAATTTGGCGCAAAAAAAGGAAGACTTCTTTACTTTCACTTTCCCCTAAGCTGATTCTAAATTCCCCAGATCCAGGGAAGTCTCCCTAACTAGAAAACCGTCGAACTAGGTCAATCGGCATCATTTCCCTGCAATGTTCAGAGGAAAAATTCTGTTAACCATATTTCACTCATAATTTCAGTTATGTAGCTATATCTTCAGCAGCATCTCTTTGTTTAGAAACTAACTCGTAATCTCATTTTTAGCTATAAATTTTCTTATACGAGTGGATAACAATTAAGTAAAAGAAAATTTAATGCAGAAATATTTTAACAAATAATGATACATTTTTTCGAGGGGAAGTTAAAGATGACACTTTATTTCTGATCATCAAATTAATAAAGAACATTACGAACGCGTGTGCGCATTAAAGCATAATAAACGCCTAGTTTTACTGCAAATTCCGATCGTAATTAGTTGTATATTAACCCGCGAACAGTAATATTTTCATTAGCGACGCTGAAGCTCGCGGATTAAACCTATCATAAATTCATTACGTAGTTTGCTGCACCTTCTTCAGTTTGATACCGCATTTTCCGAACCGTTAGCTTTCGCCACGAGCATGACGCATTTTCACCAAAATTACTCTTCCATCATTCTCATTATTATCGCAGTAACAAACTTGGTTAATTTATATAAATCATAACCAAATCCTAACAAAATTCATAATAACCTTCATTTTATTTAAACTAATAATTAGCCATGGGAAAATCAAATGAAACTATCTGAACTAAACTTTTCACATAAAACGTTTTAAAATTTATACGTATTATAAGATACAATCAAGACATTTCGTAGTAGATATTTAGATGTATTCTGATCCTCTTTCGATTCGCGGCCTTCTTCTTAAGGTTCTATAGCACAAAAGGAAAAAAAGAACCCTTATGGGTCTTAGGTCTGCAATCCCTTGAAGCTGTGAAAAAATTAAACTTCTAACTCAACGAAATCAAAAGATACCTACTGCCGTTTGTGCCGCATATTTTTACACTCGCAATAATACTTCCCTTTGGCCTAAAATCATAAAGTCATATGGCACAAGTAAAGGGAAAACTCCAAAAAACCATAAAAAGATCACAAAACAACGGCTTTTTAATTTGAATATTCTAATTATACATTCTGGAAATTAATTTTACGAAAAAGTGGGAAAAAGCTTCGAAATTCGACTCCCATTCCATTCAAACTACTTACATACTTACAAGTTTCTTTTTTAAATACCTTAACGACAATATACATGAATTATTTTTATATTGTACATATCCATAGCACAGTACCTTTCAAGTTTCATTCCTATCGTTTTATAATAAATGCCAAAAAAAGCGTAAACCATCTCAGAATATCATAAACAAACTTTGTAATTGTAATAAATAATAAAACACTACAGACAACATCCAACTGGACCGCAAGTTTTAAATTTAACGGAGCATGAATAAAGCAGTGGGCACAAAAAATTTCTTCTTCTAATGGTCCAAAAGTACTCGAAACTTTTGTCGAGTACAGTTTAGTAAAACGAGAGTGGCGAGAGGGCGAGAAAAAACCTTTAAGCTGTTCTAAGCAATTTAAAATTCAGCATTCAAACCGTTTGGAGAGCAGCAAGGAAAATTAATAAGAAAACCGCTAAGACAAAGAGATGGATAACGTTCCCCATTCGGAAACGACACTGAAACTTCTTAGTAATTGGTTTAGATAATTTAGAGGCAACAAATAAATTATATGCTTGCCAAATAAATGATCAACTGAAAAAGTACCTAAGAACTGTTTCTAAGCTTATCCGATATAAATAAATATTAGAGTGAGTGAGATTTTGGTGTTTCCAACTAAAAAACTACACATTTATAGACTCATAAATACGAAGAAGAATGTTACGTAAAAACAGTCCAAAATATTTCATAAAATAGTAGATAACGCTGCGATCGCTATAAATTCAAGGTCGACCATGTATTAGACCAGTGGCGCCATAATGGAATATTGCATCATTTCTACAACGTGAATATACTGCAAAATATATTGCAAATTTAAAGTTTTATTGATTTTTATAAAACAATCAATATACTATAGAATGAACCCAGGGTCCTGTTGGGTAATTGGTTATGATCGTTTTTTATATGTGGATTCAAATTTTTTGTCTATTTTCCAGTAGCCGCCTGGAATAGAAATTTTTGAATTTATTAGTAACAAATTAGAGACTAATTTTATAGTACCTACACTATAGATAACTACTTTAACAGGACTGACAACATAGGAAAATAACAAAAAAAGAACTGGATGAAACACTGAAAATAATAAGATATTTATATTTAAAAGATTGTTGCAAATATTCGAGATCATTAGGAGATTTCATAGATAGAATTTGATAAAAATGCGAACATACATTCTTAACTCATTTACAAAAGTATCTACAAAATCCCTTTTTCTAATTACCAAAATGACGTGTCTGAAAACTGGTGTCCGTACCTCCTAAATAATTCACTCAAAGAAAGTACTACACACGAAATTTTCGTCACCAGTTCATTTGTAGACATAGGATAGTCCTACTGAACGAAACTATAATTCTAAAGCTCTCAAAAGTCGCTGGACGTTTCAGATAGTCCTTGAAGTTCTCAACTTTCCTGTTTCCGCCTTACCCTATTTCCTGGGACTCCACTAATCACAAAAACAAAATGATTCAAAAGCTTAAATGTCCAAGGTGACTTCGAAAACAACCGCTGTTACTTAATCAAATCTAAAGACCTTAACATCTTTTGTAGAGAATTATGTTTTACATTATTTGGTGTGATTTATTTTCAACATTTAATTTGCACGATTAGTTTCTAATACAAACCCACTTCAATATACATGTTCCTTTGAAAAAAAAACAATTATATAAGAAGGAATAAGAAATGAATATATACAGATACAAATTTATTCACAAGGAGTGATATATTTGTTAATTTAGCTGCGGGATGTTTTATAAACGTCACCATCAATTCGGAAACGTTCCCCTTGCAATGTTTTCAATAGACACAGGATGAGAATTACCCGAAAAAAAAAACCGCAGGATTACATTAACCTCAATTCTTTCCCGGGATGTCTTTTAAAACGTTTACTCTAGCAAATTTTCGGAAAGCACGAAGCCTAACGGAACGACTCCAGAAAGCATCAAACGAAAGACTAATCAGTTTGAACAGGGAGCTTTCAGGAGAGTACCTACCTTCTGCCATTTTTCTTCGTTAATCTCATTCCCAGAAAGTTTTCGAATAACATTCGTCAAACAGCTTATCATTCCCTTATACGATCGACTCGCATTATTAAATCCATTCAAAAGGTAACACGTTACTTTTAAGCATTTTACAGCTTAAAATATTAGGATCGGCAAAAAACAAATAAACTTAATTATTTGGAGATTTATATGGGAAAATATGAAACGAAGAAACCCTTAAAATTGACACTGTAACTGCGTTCCAGTCTATAATTAAATTATTTCCAAATAAATAAACCACTTTTCGTTCAAAATTCTATGCGATCTTGGAATATTTATGAAACGAATGAAAATAATGTCGGAAAATTTAAGCCACTTATTTATTTTTTGAATGAAAAGCTTTTAAATTATCTGTGTGTAGAAGTTGCTTGAACAAATGTAAAATATCAATTTTTGATTCCAAAGTGAATGTTGTGGGTGTACTCTTAGTAGAAAGACTTAGGTATAAACAAAGCTTTCTTTAAAAAAATCCAAAGCATCTTACCAATAGTCAGTTAAATAATCGTTACACATAGTTTTTTACCTTTAGTTTTAAATTCTGGCATGGTTTGAAGCAATTCCTATTACTTATCTTCTTAAAAGTAATATAAATAACTAATGTAAAAAAGAATAACCGAAAAATTATTTGGAACTTAAAAATTAAATGACCATAAGGTATACTAAATTTTGTGTTCTAAAATTAAAACAAAGACAGACATACAGTTCGGTCCTTTGACATTTGTTCACCTTGGACACTGTTACAAATTGGATTACCTCAACCCTAAAACAATTCCTGTACAATGTACATCATAAATACAATACATATATCTACGTATACGCACTACAACAAGCAGACACACTAGAAATAACGAAATCACATACCTATAGAAGTTCCATCCTTTCCACATTTCAGTTTGATTAGATTTGAAATTGGAATCTGCTTCTCAAGTAGCAAACTACGCCCTGTAATCAAAAAGTCAAATGTGCAATCCATCATTTGGTATTAGCAATAAGACAAAACGATGCAGGTACGACATCTACCATCAAAAAGTTTGAAATCGATTTCGAAAGCTGTTCGTGCCAATTTCAAATCAAAATATTGCTTTTTCTGTGTACGTATGATGCTTAAAACAACGACGCACTTCGAAATTTGTTTAAAAATATCCAGCATCTGTTTAATAAAAAGGTTTACAACAACAAACTTTTGAAAATTCTTGACCGAAACCTTTATATACTGCATACTACTACTCACAAATTAACAAAGCAGTTATTTAATTAATTGTTATCGCAATGGACGTATAAAAATATTATTATGTATTGTAGATTAGTAATAAGCAGTTGATATTTACTTTATTGGTCGTTCCGCAACCGTTACTGTTTACATTTGTCATCGATGTAATCGCTATTTCTCTCTATACGTTGCCACGGCCAGGGCCGGCTCAAATTGCAACTTTTTTTTGTCCCTTAACTACGCTGCTTTACTAACGATGCAATTCCCTACTGCATCTGGTTAACAGCCTTCAAAGCTTGCTGTTTATTCCGCAAACACCCTATATAACTCGAGGAATATTATGATGTCCCGAATTTAAATTCATTGAGCAAATCGTGCAAACCGCAGCGTTCTAATGTAATATAACGGACCGTAATAAGAGTTGACGAAGGATGGAGAAGGAAGGAGTTGGAGAGCCAGGATAATTACGTTTATATGCCACGGGCTAGCCAAATATCTGATTATGGCTAAGCGACGGACAGCTTATAAGCTCTGGCGCTTTTAAATTAGTTACTGAGCAAGCACCGCGTCGGGATTTTACTTATTAAAAGATTATTACCGTCAACGGTTCGAAAAAGAAAAACGAACACGACAGAAAGATCACGGTTTAAACGGATTAGTTCGTGTTGTTATTTACCAGAGATCAGGCCACAACGAAACCCCCAAAACGATCTTATACAACCGAATGGAACTGTGTAGGCACCCCAAATACATACGTACGTACATTAAATTCAAGCAACTTCTAAATCTAACAAGGGTAGCAACCAAAAGCTAAAATGTAAAGGACAATCGTCTAATTTTGGATAGCTTCCTAATTTTGGGTACTGTATTAACAGCTTTTGGTAAATGAAGCTGCAAAAGGACTTTAACATAAAATTCTAAACAAAGCACACGACTAAACTGCTCGCCGCAGAGTGGCGCCCAGGACCAGGGAAAGAGCGTAGTCGTATAGGTAACCATCCGCTTGGAACATTTTTTGGAGATTCAGTATTTCAAGTCTATACATTGCTAAAAAAGAATGCAAAGGGGGTGAGGATTTGGTTTGATTAGTCCCTTATTTCTTCATTTTCATTATCATAGTATAGTGTGATTTTGCTTTTCTTTCACCTTCTCCGTCAATTCCTTGAGGTCGTCCATAAAATGCATCACTCAGAATTTCACTCCCTACTCCTTCGTCACAGTAAGTCATTGCTTGGGGTCGTCTCAAAATTACACGTTTTTGGACCCCTCACACTTTCAGCGACCCCCCTAATAAATATTACGTCCTCCTACCTATAAACGCTCTGTTATGATTTAAAATAGCAATAAGAATGATTTTATATCGCAATGAAAAATTTTAAGAACTCTGTCAAGTTATGAAAAACATTAATAAGTATTGACGAACTACGAACGTCACATTTCCTTAGACCTCCCTTCACCCTCAGTTGAGAACATATTTTATGAACGACCCCTTTCCATTTTCATTTTAACTGTTACTATTTGTTTCCAAATCTTAATATCTTCACTCCTTGTAGGCCCTCTTCTACCTCATCTAATCATCTTCTTTTAGGTCTTCTTGTTGCTTTTTTACTTCTTTGGTTCCATTCGGTTATCGCCCTCAGATTTTCCTCTTTCACAATTTTCTATATGTGTCCCAAAAAAAAAAACTTTTAGGTGTTTCATTCCAACCAGCCAGTAATGCTGGTGGGCGGGCAGTCCCTCCGGACTATGCCGGAAGGTAGGGCGGAAGGCCCTCTTCAGCCTGCTTTCAGGAATCGTGGGAATGGGTGGGTGGTGGTTCGGGTGAGAAAGATGAGACGGACGAAATGAAGACAGAAGAGAATGAAAGATTATCTGTGGAATATTACTGCCTCAGCATTTGCCTAAGTGATCCAAGGAAACCACAGAAAAACTTGGACCAAGGCAGACGGACCCGGAATCGAACCGGCGTCCTCCCGAATGCTAAGCAATGGTCTAGACCTCTAGGCCATGCCGCTCGGTATAAAACTAGAACAACCCACATCCTTAACTATTTGCGAACAGTAATCTAATCTAGGTCTACCTCTACCCCTCCTAACTCCTGTTTCTGCCTCTAATATGTCTCTGACTAGACCTTCATGCCTGAGAAGGTGTCCTACCAACCTATCTCGCCTATTTTTTATTGACTTCCATAGAGTCCTCTGTTCTCCTATTCTTTCCAATACCTCTTCATTTCTAACCTTTTCTACCCACGATATCCTCATCATCCGCCTATAACACCACATTTCGAACGCTTCTAACCTTTTCTTTTCCGCCGCTCCCACTGTCCATGTTTCGCACCCGTACAACGCCGTGCTCCAAACATACACCTTTAACAACCTTTTTCGAATTTCTAAATTAACCGTTCGCGAGCATAGAAGTGACTTCTTTTTATTAAAGGCGACACGACCCTGCGCTATCCTCTGCTTTATATCCCTACTACTCCTTCCATCCTCACTTATCTGACTTCCTAGGTATCTAAAATCAGCCACTTCTTCTAATTTTTCGTCTCCTATCTTTATATTCGCTCTTTCCCTACTTTTTCTTCCCTTGCATATCAGTATTTTAGTTTTACTTTTATTTATTTTCATACAATACTGATCTGTCAGTACCGCTTCCATTTTATTTATAGCTATCTCGAAGTCCTCCTTGCTAGATGCTTATACTGCTATATCATCTGCAAATCTAAGCATGCTAATCTTTTGCCCTTGCACATCTATCCCTACAGTGGTACTGTCTTTAATGATGTTGATCGCGTCTTCGATGTATAGATTAAAAAGTAGCTTTTTTTCATCGCTCCGAATCCTCTTAAACAAAATTTCGACAAGATCTTATTTTTTCAAAAACATCGCAAAAACAAGAATGAAGACAGTCATTTAACTTCCGTTGTTGCTAAAACGGATACCTACATGGGGAAGATCGCATACAAATAAATCTTTTAACTTCTGAATCCTGCAGCTTTTGCAGGATAACAAGGGGCTCAAAGTGTAAGCCACTCGGGCTCATGTCACACGACGTACAATTTAGAATCCAAATCACTTTTCTAAATCTGTTATTTTACACGACACACTTAGAATGGAGAGAATAGAAGACCGTGGAAAATTAGAGATTAGAAACTTACGAAAATATTCAAATTATTTCTGATTGCATTTTAACCCCTTTATATTTTACGTGTTTCGTTTAATCAAAATGTCAAATAGATGCTACTTACTCAAAGTAAAATTGTGTTTTTAAAAAACAAACTTCATAGTTAATCTCTATAATTTTACTAAAAGCAATGTTCGCTTTAACTCAAAACTTGAAACCTCATTTACGTAAACTACAAAAACTCAATCTATTTGTAGATATAGTCCTGTCCTGTACTGGTACTTCAGTATCTTTGGCCAAAATGAAATTAAATACCCCTTAAAGAAATATTTTTACAAAGAACATTCTTTTAGGTACATCTTTAACAGGTCTACAAGCTTTATCATCTTTTCTTTTTTTTTTGTTTCTCGCGTCAATAACTGTTTCCGGCAGCTGAAATCTCATCTGTCAATACCCAATTATTGTTACTGTCATAGAAAGCTAAATTTTAATTCAAACGGTGGTGGGAGGAGGTCCTACCTAAGGGTGTAATCGGACAGGCGCTGAAGTCTTTAGGGACTTGAAACCGGTGCTTCGATACATCAGTTGTTCTCGAGGCGTCGCGGCGCCTGCCAGCGCCGATATCGACGACCGTCGACACTTGCGGATGCGGGTAATGCGAAAAAGACATCGCCGAATCACTATTTTGGTAACTATGGAAGCTTCGGACTTCAGCAGGTGAGATACGAATTTATATTTAATTTTTTAAAGTTTTACGACCACATTTCTATAAAACTTTTGCGAGACTTATGTCAATAATCTTTCTAAACAACTGAACTATGATTCTATCATTCATAAATCATCAAGGATTCTTAATGGTCCTTACGGTTTTTTTTTTAATATTAAACTTTTTATTTTTCAAGCCCCTTTTATAGTTAGTTTTTTTTAAATAGGTGTC